TAGGAACTATGTCACACAAGATTGGATCACTGTAGGTGCCATGACAAGTAGAAACAAGACTCTGTTAAGTTACCAAAAATGCTTGATTTACTCGTCCATGCTAGTTTGTATGGTGGGAGATGTGATTGCATCTAAAAATTGAAATTTTCAGCTGTAGATATTAAAACAAAATTCTAGGATTACATAAAAAAGCCAGTGTTTCAGGGAGGTTTGGGGTTGAGATCATTAATGGAGATGAATTTGATCTTACCAGGTAAGTGATATAGAGATTTATAGAGGATGATACTCGAAAGTATTAACTAGACTAAAATATGGTTTATCTCTCTTCTCTCTAAAACCCTAGTCCAGCCTCTCCGACCACAACATCCAAAGTACCTTCATGAACTTGTATGGTAGATGGTATCTATACGTAGAAAATAAATCCATCGACCTATGTTGCGAAGGTAAGAAGGCGGAAGGTTTACGAATCACGGAGAATGGGCGTGGGTTCAGAAGATCGATTTATTTAGATAAGAAGGAATTTGTTTGGTTTCTTGACGCGCTCGGTGATTTTTGGTGGAAAAGCAAACCGGGCACATGAGTCAAAAGCATTGTGAGGAGGAACTACGAATTATGGTTGGCATATGACTCAAATCAGTGAGGGGAATATCTTAACCTAACTGTCCAAGGAGGCAGAAGAGTAAAAAAGATTTTCTTTCCGGAAGGACTGTAGGGGGGAGGGTGGTGGAAACTAATGGTGGCAACTTCTGAGTTAGTGGATAAACCGGTCAAATCTTCCAAGATCGTTAATGAAGAACGAAATATTGAACTTGAACGCCTTAAGGTGAGTCGGAACCAAATGAAATTTCCATGGAAAGCCTCCTTTCACTGCCCACATTGCAACACCCCGATCAACGCCAATGTAGCAATGGAATTCGAAGGTACAAAAATTTACGTGGCGGCGCTTCAAGCAAGAGAAAGCAAGGTGAGGCAGGTATGGCAGAGTCAATTCGAGTGGTCAAATTGGGTTGGTCCAAATGGAAAGAACCAGAATGAAAAGGGTTACATGGTCGATGATCAAAACGACAAAGTCAAGCGTCGTTTTGGTAAAAAAAGGGTTAAGGGAGCTGTAACGATGGGCCGAACACAGAAGGACAATACAAATGGCCGGGTGATAAGAAAAGATACACATGGAGAGAAAAAGGGAAATCGAAGATGGAGACTGATAATGCCAGGGGCACACTCGCATGCTTGGATTCGGGTCTTGTTGCTAACTCGACCCAAGGTGAAACATCAAGCATTAAGAAAGTGGAAGAAATTAAGGAATTGGTGTCGACTGATAGCAGAGAAAAAGACTTTTCTAAGTTATGACTTGACGAAGAGAAATTGGCCGAGGAAACTGAGAAAAGAGGTCATGAAGATGAGTAATTTGAGTTGAGAGAAAGAGAAGAAGAAGACGCATGCTCTGTTTTCTCCACAATGGAGGATTTTGAAGGGGAACGGCGAAAGGTTATGGACCTATTGTGCGACAAGCATGAAATCCCGATGGAGACCAGAAACTTAGTGGTGGTAGAAACAGATGCCACATTTTTGGATTCAAGGGAAGACACTGATATTGTAGAGACCATTCAACTGAATCTGGAGGGAGCCAACATCTCTGCCTGGGAGGTGAAGTATTGCTCGCAGTGGGTTCTTAACAATGTGAACAAATTCAACAAGAAAATGGGCATATCCTTTGAAGGTATGAAATACTTAACTTAGTTTTTCTTCTTTGAAATAGAAAAAAGGAAAGTGCCCCCAAGTACTGCACGGACTGTTTTAATAAAGAAAAAGAGAGTGAGAAGTGGCACCCCTAGGGAGCTTAAAAGATTGGAGTCTTCCATAAATTATGAAGGAAGAAAAAAAGAAGGTATGGTCGTAGGCGGGATCAGGTTGATTTGTGAATTATTGGGAAGATTTTGTCCTGAAATGTCTGTGGGGCAATTGACAGAGATAAAAGGCTTGTCATCAATGACTGTATGAAAAAATAGATGCCTATTATAGTTTGTGTGCAAGAAATAAAAATTGAAGATCATGCCAAAGAAAAGATTAACAGCATACGGTGCGAGAAAAACTAGGATTGACATGCAATTCCGGCCAAAGGATCTGCTGGGGGGATGATTATTTCTTGGAAGAAGGATTGGGTTAGTTGTCTAGATGTCTTTAAAGGTCAATGCACCTTGTCTTGCATCTTCAAGAATTGCAAAGGGGACATAGAATGGATGTTCACCAGGGTTTACTACAGAGGCAATAAAGCGGAGAAATTAATTTTGTGGGATAAATTGGAGAACTGCAAAACCAGACGGGGTAGTATGTGGATTATTGGGGAAGATTTTAACACGACATTGAGACGGGGGAGAGGAACGGTAACTGTTTTTGGTTTCAGAGGCGGCTGAATTCAAGGAGGTTATGGACGGGATTGGTGTGGCTGATTTGCCGTTGTCAAAAGGGCAGTGGACACGGTCTAATCGAAAGAGTATGTCCAGAATTGATAGATTCTTTGTATCCTCCAATTTCCTGCTGGAGTTGACCAATGTAAGCCAAAAAACACTACCCCGACTCACATATGATCATTATCCTGTATGCGTAGAGGTTGAGGGAATCCAATGGGGACCTGTGCTGTTTCAGTTAGACAACAAATGGCTGAAAAAGGATAAATTCCGAGATTTGGTAGAAAATTCATGGAAAAATTGTGAGGTTTAGAGTTGCACCAGCTTCAAACTAGCCTTTAAACTTAAGAATTTGTAGACTGTTATCAAAGCATGGGCCAAAGAGGAGCTGAAGAATGAGAAGAGCAGGTTTGATAATACAGTGGTCGGATTCAGTTTATTGGACTCTAAGGAGGTAGGCAATGGATTGAATGACGAGGAGAATTATGAGGGGTAATTTAAAGCTACAGCTTGCTGCATATTTGAAGGAAGAAGAAATGGTGTGGACAGAAGTCAAGAGAAAAGTGGTCGGCGGATGGTAATCGGAATACGAAATATTTCCATACTTTGGCCTCCCATTGTCACAGAATAAACTACATTGAGGAAATTGTTACCGAGAACAAGAAAACTGGGGGAAATCCGACTTTACGTGAGGCTGCCAAGGAACATTTTGAAAATATGTATAAGGCGATTCATGTTTGTAGACCAAAGTTGGATGGTTTGTCATTTAACAGAATATCTGAAGAGAGCAGACAGCTTCTGGAAGCTGAATTTAATGCAGAGGAGTTCTTAGAGGGTTTAAAATCATGTGATGGTAATAAAGCTTCAGGTCCCGATGGTTTTAGCTTGAATTTCCTTTAAAGTTTCTGGTATGTACTGAAAGAGGATATTGTGTCTGTTTTCAAAGATTTACATTCCAATGACAAGTTTCTTAAATCTTTAAACACTACATTGCCTTTATTCTCAAGAAAATGGGTGCCAATGAATTTAAAAACTTTAGTCCTATAAGCTTGGTTGGGTGTATATAGAAGCTCATTGCCAAGGTGTTGGCTAGGAGACTAGTTAAAGTGTTGGGACAAATAATTGGGAAAAGCCTACATGCTTTTGTTGGGGGAAGACAGATTTTTGATGCCGTTATGGCTGCTAATGAAACGATTGATGACTTGATCAATAAAAAGGATAGTTTGGTGTGTAAACTTGACATGGAAAAAGCTTATGATCATGTGAATTGGAATTTTGTAGACTGCATGCTATCTACGATGGTTTTTGGCCTAAAATGGAGAAAATGGATGAGGCTTGTATGACCACTACATCTTTTACTGTATTAATAAATGACCGTTTTTCTAATTTCTTTAATACTTCTAGAGGATTGAGGTAAGGGGATCCACTCTCTCTGCTTTTGTTTATAATGGTGATGGAGGCTTTAAACGGGTTAGTCAACAGGGCACATGAGTTGCATTTGATTAGGGGAGTTTCAGCGGGACAAAAAGAGAGAATTGATGTTTCTCACTTATTCTTTGTTGATGATACCCTAATTTCCGTCAACCGGATTTGAGAAACATACTACATTTGAGGTTTGTACTTGTGTGTTTTCAAGCTGTCTCGGGTTTCAAGATTAATTTATACAAGTCTGAATTGGGCAGAATTGGTGGTAATGGGGTTGCTAGTTCATATGCTATGATTTTAGGCTGTAAAGATATAAAATTTTCCTTCAAGTACCTTGGCCTCTCACTTGGTGCTAAGTGTAAAGATCAATTATCTTGAGAACCGGTTATTGATTTGTTTGAAAGAAGACTAGAGGGTTGGAAGAGAAATTTTCTCTCTAAAAGGGGGAGACACACCCTAGTAAAAAACGCAGTGATTAATATCTCAATATATTATCTTTTGACAATCACTATATCTCTTAAAGTGGCTAAAAACCTAAAAACAATTCAATGTAGATTCTTTTGGGTGATAGTGATGATAAGAGAAAGTACCATCTTGTAAAATGGGAGGATATCAAAGACCCAATCATTTATGGAGGCCTTGGGATTAGGTTCATGGTTAATATGAATTTAGCACTCCAGAGAAAATGGATTTGGAGATATTTGAAAGAAGAAAACAGTTTTTGGAGAAAAATTATTCATGCTCGGTGGGGTATGTATATGGGTAGGACAGTTGACGGTAGGATTCCAAACACACATGGAAGAGGCTTATGGAGAAAAATTCTAATGCAATGGTGCAACTTTCAGCAATGTGTCACATGGACATTAGGGAGAGGGAACAGGATTATTTTTTGGGAAGACGATTGGATCGGGGAGAGCTGTTTAAGAAGAAGTTTTCCCAGAATTTTCAATATTGCATAATCTAAGGAGATGACAGTTGAAGAAGCCTACCGGACTGATATGACAGTATTGTATGTTCTATTAACGTCAGTCTGAACTTGAATGATTGAGAAATTGTTGAGTATGAGGGTTTGATGAAGCCGTTGGCTGGTTAGGTTGTAGACAGTAATGTAGATCAGATTGTGTGGAAATTTGAAAAAAAAAGAAAATTTCTCAGTTAAGTCTTACTACAATCAACGAAGCTGAAAAGTGAATGTGGCCAGACAGAACTTTCCAACCAAGCGAATTTGGAAAACCAAGGCTTTGCTCCGTATTGCCTTTTTTGCTTGGGAGACTTTCTGGGAGAGGATTTTGACTATTGAAAAGTTGAGAATTAGAAGAAGAGTGATGGTTAACGTTTGCTATTGTTGCTTGCAAGCTGAGGAAATGTGGAACCATCTCTTATTGTGGTGTCCGTTTGTTTACAGCTTATGGTGTTTGATATATAGTCTTATGGGGATTGATTGGGTCGTAATTGGGTCTGTTGAGGGAGAAATATGGGCTTGGGATGAGCTATATGTAAAAAAAAAAAAATTGCTAACTTGATTTCTTTGACTGTTTTCTGTGTCAATTGGAAGGAAAGAAGTGGTAGGACTTTTGACAATATTGAGAATAGGATCAATAGATTAAAAGATAGGTGAATTCATAATTTTAGTTTTATTTTATTAGAACATAACATTATTAGTGGATTTTGGGAATGTCATTGATATACTAACATGATTTGATTTTTTGTACATGGGTGGTACTCTCTTTTTGGTGTCTTGTTAATACATACTATACATTTTTATTGGAAAAAAAAGTATTGACTAGACTACTTGGAAAGGGGATGTGTAAAAAATATGCATGGATAGGAATAAATTTCAAGATCGCATCAGGTGGAGGGTTGATATTGGGGGCAAAATCAGTTTTTGGCAAGACGCTTGGCTTAGAGAGGGATAGCTCAAAGATCAGTTTCCCTAGATATATGCCATTGTAGGGTACAAAAAGATTACGATTTTTTAGTCATTCAAAGATATAGGGGGAAAAAGGGAGTGGTACATGGAAATTATGATAAACCTCAATGAATGTGACATTAATGATTATGAGACTCACCTCAATACATTCTCCTTCGCCTCAATTAATGGGAGTAATGATCAACCAATTTAGAGTTTCAATTCCAGAAGGTCTATCTTAGTCAGATCTTTCTATAATTATTTAATTAAGAATAACCCCACTTAGACCAATTTTTCTTTTTGGCAAATTTGAAAAGTTAATTCTCTATTTAGAATTACTTTTTTGCCGTGGGAAAGAGGTTGTCGATGTATCTCACTATTGACAAATTGATGAGGAGGAGAAATATTTTGGTGAATGATTGTTTTCTATGCAAGAGGGAAGCCAAATCTTGTAATCACATCGTTCTTTGGTGCCCGCTTGCACATAAGTTATGAACCATGGCTTACAAGTCACTGGGGATTAGTTAAGGCAATGGCTAATTTGGTAAGGGACGAAATTCGGGTCTAGAGGGGTATTAATAGAGGAAAGAAACATGCGAGTCTCATTCCCCTTGCTGTCTTTTGGGTGGTGGGGAAAGAGACATGAGAGTTTTTAGGGAGTGGAAGATGAATTTGATAGGGTTATAGATAGGTGGTTTCAGACCCTAGTTTTTTTAGTTATGAGTCATTCTCTGTATACAATTAAAGATTTTGGGGACCTTATTAATATTATGTTTGACATGTAAATACTTTTTCGTCTTTGGGTTGGCACCCCCTTAGTGTTTGTAGATTAATAAATCATATTATACTTTTTATTTCAAAAAAAAAAAAATGAACATTCTGCAACATTCTTTGTGAATGACAAGTTTTTTACATTTATTCTTACAGCAAGCTACAGTTTGGAAAATTAGAGAATATTTTGGATCTTTTTCTACGTTAGCTGCATAATTATGCTTAATTACAGTCAAGAATAACTTGTCAATCCTATCATCCTTGAATAATGACTTATTCTCTTCCTCACGATTCAACATGCCTTAAACTTTTTCCATCATATACTTTTGCAGAAGAGGCTGCAAAATAAGAGAGGTAGACAAGAATACCTCCTTTTCAATTGCCAAATGCCAGCCTAAGAGGGGATAAGCCAATCTAGGGTAATCAATTTAGTCAAACCCGATTGAAAAAGTCAAAACAGAGCATGATACAAAAGGCCCACTCGCGGGTGCAGGTGCTTGGGGTCCATGCGTTGGCTTTTAGTCATTGTATGGCACTGGCCATTTGGCAGTTGGCTCTACTGGAGGTGCTAATTTTCGTTTGGAGGTCAGTGTAGGACATGACAGTGCAGAAGTTCGGATTCATGAAAGGCAGCGACTAGAGGAGTTGCGCGGGTGAGTATGGTGGTTTGTGGTGGATTTATGCTGTGGGGTTTTTGGGTTGCCAGGCGGGGTCTTCTTAGACTAGTTATAGTGACTGTGTTGATCAACTCCAATCAGTGACTGTGATCTAGGGCGGCGGCAGTAGACTGGGTTAGGTTTTCTGTCCTTTTTTTTTATATTCTGTTTTCTTTTTCTTTATTCTTTTTCGAAGATAAGTTTTAGGACTGTGTAGGATTTTGAGAATTGGATTTATGAATCTTTTAGCTCTCGTACTAAATTGATGTAAGACAAATAGAATTGATTTGTCCAATTAGAGATTTAGGGATTAAAAACCTGGACATCATGCCTAAAATTTCTTAAACATCACATTAAGGAATCTTAAGTATCATATTTATAGGTTTAATTGCATCACATAAACAGAAAACTGAGAAATTCTAAAAAAATTATTGAATAACTGAATACTATCCTCTCAAAAGGTTATAGTCATACATGTAGAATACTTAATAGGTCTTTCCTAAACTAGATTAGGAAATGCCAAAACTAAATTAGGAATTTTACTTTTAATAAAATGAGAATACAGCTGCTAAAAAGATCAAGAATGTTAATCCTAATAGAAAAAGAAAATACTAAAACAAATAGGAAATCTAATACTAAAAATAATAAAATTTTGAAGTTACCAAAACTTTAGTACTAGACTTCTAGGAGGGCTTCGGGGTTTGTCTGCTTTGTGCCTGCCTGCTTCATTTCTGATTTCAATGGAGGACATACACCGATGCCGTATGTATGGTCAAAAGCCCTATATCCTTGAAATACGGAGAAGAACAAAGATTTTATACGCGGAAGTTGGTGAAATTTATAGTCCCACTAACATAACTTTTGTTGGTTATGTTAATGGGATACTCCAAAGGAAAGATGAGAAATTTTAAAAGAAGAGATAGAAGGGCTGGAGCGAAAGGATGCAGAGCTCATTTTGGTAAAAGATCAGTAAGTTTAATACTGTGAAAAGTTTCAGAACTGCTTCACTGTATTAATCATGATATTAGTAAAGTGTATTTATACAAGGAAGAGTCCATCTTCATGTGGAACTTTGTGAAAGAAAACATTTAGAATACTGACTCAGTTGTAATGTTATGTACATATCCTATCAGCTATAACTTCTTCCCAGGTACCCAGTGAGAAGCGAACACCTGGGTGACCAAAAAAGGAGCCGCCACCACACTTCACCTTTTGTACCTTGAGGGAATGTCATGATTCTTCTTCCTTTGTTATCCTCCTTGAGTTCTAGATAGTTACCCGTTTTATTCTTGCCAAGCTGTAAAGATAACTCCCTACCAACTCCTCTCTGTAGGTTCCTCCATTGTCGCTTTGGTCCAAAAGAACTGACACAGAACGACTCACACAAGGATCTGAACAACCATTAAGTTTCCAGGTTGAAGGTGGAATAAGAACCAAATCTATGCCCATTTTGCGAAGCCTAGGGAGGTCATTCACTTCTCCTTTTGATACCATGTCAAATGATTTTCTTTTAATTACTAGGAGTTCTCTAGAGAAAAGGATATAATTTCAGATCAGAGGGCTGACAATGGTAGGGAGCTCTGGACAGATGGCCCAGGCAAAGCTCCAGGAAGGTAAAGAAAAAGGATAAGTTGGTAGAGAGATAACCTAGAGAGGGAAAAGCAACTTTGAACAGTCAAACGACAATGACCTATGAATATAGAGATCAACTGTTTGAGAATATCATGATCTCTACATTAGCCCTGTTTATTCATTTTAAGTTATCGAGGATTTTCAATGTCTTTTATGCAATTATTCATATACTATGTATGAACTGAAGCCAATGCTTGAATGGCCAGTTTGAGCTTCTGTTGATGATTCCATTTGTTAAACTTGCAGTAAATCAGAATATGTCATATACAAGCTCAAGGAGATGGCAAAGATATCAGAGAAAGACATTTCCCCTATCTGTAACCAGTTTGACAGGCTAGATACGGGCAACTGCGGAAAAATCACTCTTGCTGATCTCATGGAGAGTCATCACTGATATAGATAATGCCGTGCAGGATACAACAGAAGTTGTAGAGAATCAGTATGCCACTAAACTGTAAAATTTGATAATTCGCAAAAAAGTTGAATATACAAACGTTCCATGAACTTCAGTGCCTGATACTGGTAATCTCTTTACCCATGAATCATGCGCATCCAGATACTAGATACTTGAGTTAACCATCTGCATCCTATTGTCTGATTTGGTTCTAAAGCATTTTGAGCATCAGGATGTGCAGATATTAGTGCTTCCTCCTATTATCTGATATGCTCCTGAAGCATTTTGAGCATCAGGATGTGCAGATATTAAAGCTTCCCCTAGATTTGGCAAACATACTTGGTGCACAGATACAGATGGATGCTGTTAGGGGGTGGGGGCGGGGAGAGACTTTTTTTTTTTTTTGCAGATGTGTTATTTTTTATACCCACGAATTCGGTATATACATATATATTCTTTGATAGATTTATGATAATAAAAGATTGGGCAGGGTGTATTTATTCCTTTGTAGTAGTCATGTCTTCTTCCATGTTAATTTCTATTTAATCTAAAGCATGTGAATGTCAGTTGTAATCAAATACATGAATGAAGGTGAAGCTTGTTAATATGTAAGTTGCAGAGGACTGATGATCTTTAATAATTAATACAGTTTAATATTTCACCAAGAATCACTAAATCTCCTTATAGTTTAGTGGTAGTGCATCAAAGTAGTTCGTTATGGTCAATAGTTTGAGAGCAAAAAAGGCACAACAGGAGACCAAAAGTAAGAAAGAATAGTGACAGTAAAACTAGTTACTGTATTGGATAGGGTTTTGTTTATGGAATTGTGAGGAATGAAATACAGTAAGGAATTTAAGTTATTTATGAATTAAATAGGAAGTTGAGTTTTAAGGGTAAAATGAAAATACAAGAAGAAATATCAATATTGGAGAACCAATAGTAGTTATCTTCCATATATATATAAATATATATTTCTCACATCTTTTTTTGATTGATTTCTCATTAAAACCGAAACTTTTAACTAACATATACCTACCTTGTTCGAGAAGAAAGGAACAAGAGGGTTTTCTGATGGAAAAAAGGCCGCAACGGGAGTTCTAAAAAATGGATTGGATAAATTATTACTAATAATCAAACTTGTTGAATTGCGTAATGAAAAATAATAAAATTGAATTATCTAAATACTTGTGTTCATAAGAAATTGTGTGTGAAAAATAGTAAAACTGAATTACCTAAATATTTATGTTTATAAAAAATCGAGTAAATATCTTTTAAGGTAAACTAAAGTACTAAAATTTACGTCGATTTTTACTCTTTATCCAATACATTTAATAACCTCGGAGATAGTAGACTTTTTCTTTCAACTGGCTCTTTAATTTCAGGCTAACTTCATATAAATTCGTGATTTGATCTCAAATTTAAGACTTTTAACATATTTATTTTTGTTTTATATCAAATAAATATTGATCTTTAGCTAAGAGTTAAATTTAATAGTAAGAAATTATGATATTACTCTCAAATAAACTTGTTTGTAACCCTAAAAATAACTTTTTTTTCTGATATGTATTTAAGCCCATTAAGTTGGGTTTGGACATAAATAAAAACTTGAGAAATTAAAAAATTATTCACGTATTTTTACTTGCCTAGATTTTTTAAATACAACTCTTGAAAATTTATATCATGCATGTGTTATATAACAATTAGGGAAAACAATATGTAATAACCTGTCTTCTGTAAGTGTGAATCCTCATCATAGGAAATATGTTTTTCTTATCAAAATTTACAAAAATTTATAAAATTAGAGTATCTCATCATGTATATATACATATAAATGTATATATATATATCAATACTCAACTTGCTAAAATCATTAAATAAAACATTTTATTTCCAACATAATAAAAAATTTTAATTTAAAATTGTTCCATAATTTAATTTAATATAAGTATTAAAAAGTTACCATCCATATACAATATATGATCAATGACATTTACAAAATTATCCAAAATCATAGAATGAAAAGTATAAATTCACCAATCTCTAATGTTAATATCAATTCCATCAAACCTTCTCGAATTTCTTTCCTTTCACACCACTTCAAAAGTGAAAAGAGGAATTAAAAGAAACGACCATCAAGATACATATATATATATATACATATATATATGTATATCTATATTACTCGTACATCTCATTGCGTTGTCAGTCTGCCTACATAGACTAACAGGGTAGTCATTGGTTTGATTAACTAGAAAAGTGTATCCATTTCTTTTAAATTACAAAGGTCTGTTCGTTTACTTTAGGGTAATTGAATGTAAGTGGCTCTTTACTTATACCTTATCTACATGATTGGGTATGAGAATCATGCAATTGAAAAAAAAATTTGGGTTGTGTATTATGCATGTACAAGGTGCATGAGAATCGCCATTGTAATGTTCTTACCTAACCAGCATGATAATTGCATGAACAGAAGCTATTTGAATTTGCAATTAAACAACCCAATAGAATTGGCTATTAGCAAGGGGCAGATTTGCGAGTAACACTTTCTGCAGATGTACGTAGTTTTCGAGCCCTCTCGTTAGGACTATCAGTAGATCCTCCTGCAAGAAGTCATGATAGCATAATCTTAGTGAATTCGAACTTTTACTCGATGACATGGTGTCGTGACGGGATAGTTTTCAAAACACCTGAGTTAGAACAAAATTCCGCACTCAAACCATGAGAAGAATTAACTCAGCTAATTTCTTATTCTCTATTGACTTCAAAACCAATGGTGTACTGTGTCCTGGTTCTCAGAAGATTTAAATTAGAACAAGATTCAAATTTATAGTGACAATTCAATTGGAGAATCCAAAAGGCACAAAGATATTGTACGAGTATTTAAATCAAATCCTACCTTGCACATCCTAACTGAATTTCACAAAATATTTGATATATTACAAAAATAGCCTAAGAATAATAGATAATAGATAAAATATTAATCACCTTCACCATATACAGGGTAGAACCCCAAATATTTAGCAATTACAAAGTGGAGTTCATTTGCTTAAAGACCATTTCCCAATTAACTTGGTATCATTGTACAGAAGAAAGCATAATAAGAAAAGGAATAAAAAGCAACAAGAGAATCAACACACCTTATTTGATAAGAACATAATCTGCACCAGCCATAAATGCATCTCCAGCAGTCGGAGGCAAGTTATTTCTAGAAATATTTTTTCGAACCTGAGCATGAGTTTCTGCTTCGTGCTGGAACATTTTAACCAACTCTTGCAGCTCCAATTTTCTAACTTCTACCTGCTCCTCAGTAATGGGTTTTTTCAACCCGAGATAGATCAGTCCAACAATGATTAGCACTATTCCTATACAGAACAAGATGGCAGCAAAAAGACCAAAAGCATAAGGTGTGTTAGCTGCTCCAGGGATTCCGTCAACATTGATTCCAAATAACCCTGTGATGATGGAAAGTACAAGGCCACAACCCCCAAAAACAGCTAAATTGTGGGTTACTCGCAGGCTTCTGTCCTGAATTTAACAATTTTCATAGGCATGAGACATAGCAATGTGTAGAAGTTAATCTGTCAATATGAAGATCATTCTTCAAATGTCAATTAAATATGTAACTTCTTTTTTAGGTTTGTTTGGCACAAACCTGCAGCCATGCACGGACAGTGCTTTGCATAACATCCTGAATTGTGAATAAGCGGCCACGAACTGCTTCTTGCTCCTCAATCATTTCTCTTGCGTTCTTCCTTATTCCTTCTAGCAAAGTCCTGGCTACATTTCCCCTCAAATGTTGGAGAAGCTCAAAGACAATCTCTTCTCTTGCATGGAGAGACCACTTTACTCTGATGACCTGCAACAGCAACCATAAGTTTTTAATGATCAATAACAATTTTGAACTCTTAAAGATCCTGAAAAAATTCGAATAGAGATCTCTGAACTAGCATGTAAAAACATAGTTTGGAAGAAATGAACTTCGTTAAAATAAGTGAGAAATTTGAAATAAATTATCTCAATTCCACTTGGAATTGTCAAAGAGCTAAAGCTAGGAGATTTCAAATTCATGACTTATGCTCAGGAGGCATGAAAACCTTCCTCCCAACACAACACCCTACCTACAAAGGAAAGAAAAAGATTCTAAGAAAGACAACTTTTCCACAAATGACTTTCAATCTAGACGGAGAAAGTGTAATACCTGTCTTGACAACTTTCTTATTTCTTGATTCAGAATAATGCTGAAAAGATACATATCTTCCTGGTTTCTCCTGCAAAAAAGGAACTAATTGTCACTATCAGAGTACGAAGTGGCAGTCCGAACTCAATAAATAGATTCATGTCCCCAAACAACCTGTTCATAAACTTTAACTCAATCTCATCGGCTGCACCAAAGATGTACTTCCGGAACAACCTGAAATAAATTAAAGACAGGTAGAAAACCATTACTATAAAAACTTATGCTAATCACGAGTCTCTTAATGCCACTAGTATATATCACGTTTACCACAGAAAATTATTCAGAGATTGGATCTTACTTTACAGTAGCAAGTGGAGGTTTACGACTTATGACAACCAAATTTCCAAGATAGGGTAAAAACGTTTGATTATATCACTGGAAGTGAACAAGACTCCCTATGTTACATAAGACAGATATTGTATAATTGTTCGATTTTCCGCAATTTTTTCCTTTTCTCTGTATAAATAACCTAATATTGGTTCAAAGTCAAAAACATATTCACCATCTAAAGTAACGACTAGATGAGAACACCATGCATTGACGAAGTACAACAAAACCTTTGCCATTTAGCAAGCTAGATTTTAACCTTCCAATTTTATCAGATGTTCTCTCGAAGAGACAACCTAGACTGGCCTTTCACAGACATTTTGAAGTAAAACGAACAACAAATAAAATTTCCTTTTAGCATATTGCTAACGTCCTACAAAACTTGCAACTAAACATATGTCAAAGTGCATTTCCAGGGACCATATGCATAAATCTGAACTAGTCATATCAATTGCATTGCATTAAAAGGCAGCAGGGTCAAACAGCTGGACTGAATTTGGAAAAGAACAAAATTCAATACCTATCATCCCATCGAGTAAGACGGCATGCAAGAAGTGCTATGAGTTCATGCACTGTCCTGGGCATGTTATAACCTCCGGCAGAAAGAAGCTCCTATAAAAGCAAAGCACCAAAAGCTTGAATAAGAAATTATGGCATCACTATAAACTTGTTTCATTAGACAATAGAAAGTTGTAATGACTGCCATTGAGAACATCTATACAAGCATGAACAACCTGAACTTCTGTGATGCCCAGCACATTTATGCATGACACATTTCCCTTGATATGCAATACAGTTATTAGGAAGTTTTGTGCTTGCCAAGACCGCAGTACAACAGGGGTGTCATCTTCATCAACAAATGGATCACCAGCTGATTGTCCCAACAGCTCAAATAATAAGCCTCCAGCAACCCTAACTGGAACCTTAATATTTGCACAGTAAAGAAGCCAACACATCAGAACCTCATTTCAAACAATAAATACATATATATATGTTGAAAATCTGCGTCGATTTCATCCTAGATATGTACAGAGTCCTCTCATCTATTTCTATAGCTAGAAAATCTTATACAATCTCTAATCTTTCCTCTTATCATCACTTAGATTAATTGATTCATAATTCTTAAGAATCCCTAGATTTTAGGAATTGATTGTAGGGTCAAAATTTTCAAGTTAGGCATAACTTTTTTGTATAAATAATGACTACATGGTATCCAAGCAGTCCAATCTGGATGTTTTTACAGCCTTCACTATTGAACCGTCTCTTTCTCCAGCTTTCACTGCTAAACAGAAAAATTCATCCATTTTGTTTATTATTGGTCTTCATATCAAGGTTACTTCCTTTATCTTTTTCTTAAAAATGATAGATTTCTCTGAAAATTCATTGAACCCCTCTATGACTGATATTGGATCCATGCCAAATTAGTCAATCAGGGAAATTGCAAGACATTAATCCTTCATACTAAATGGAAAAAAATATATATATATTTTCAATGGTCACAAACTGAGAGCCCTTCTAAAGGGAAGAGGAAAATTAAGCTACGAAACTGGAACCATTCTAAAACTAGAAGATCTGAAGTTTAATTGATTAATTCGGGAATGAGGAAGATTTGGTGATCTTTGTTCATTCTGGAATTTAATGCAATCAGTGGGAACTGTTTGTTTCTCACAATTGATCTAGAGATCAGCAAAGCTAATTGCCAGATGTACTCTAACATATAAGATGCCACTCTAATCTACAAAATCGAGAGTATATATTTAAGCAAGCTACAGCCTCATTTATAAATACTAAACTTCATGAAAAGTTTGTGACTTGAGATGGATAATTACCACAATATTAAGATGAAATGTAGTGAGGATGCTGCAATCCTCAAGAGTTATGATGAAAGAGACAAACTTTCGAACTTATTGCTTGCCTTAATTCAGAATTAGATTGTATATGCTTTCAGTTTTGCGGAAAAGGGACATTACCTTCCCCAATGAGACTTTTGTAATAATTGGTGCTGAGGAGAGCCGAAGAAAAATTATGCTCAATTACTGAACGTTAAATAGCTCAATCATGATCTTTACAAAATTCACAATGATAGACTCAACTAAAGCTCTAAGATAATGGTACAAATGAGAACAAAAATTTTTAGTACTCTAAACCACTTAACTGGGAAGGAATTTGGTGCATATATTATATGAAGTCACAACAAATGAATAAGAATTGCTTTAAACTCCATTGAAAAGCTCAAGTTCTCAGCCAAAATGGGGGGCTTAAAACAATGAAAAAAGCAAGCATACGTCATGAATAGATGGCATCTTGTCTAAAAATTCAACCCAAAAGCAACAATTTTGGAGAACTCAAGAAGGAGGGAAGTGAATTAGATATCTTCAGACAATATTGCAAGAAAAACTAGGTAGCCCTTTCTTGCTCGTCAAAAAGTTCTTCCTCCAACATAACTGAGATTTTGCTCCATCCTTTAATTTGCTTAGATACATGTTTCCCCATCCTTTTGAAAATTTCACTGTTGGTAGCTTCATTGAGATACTTGTGAACTTGCTAAAGACCATCACGTATCATGTCCCTTGAGTAATAAAAGGTTTACTACACCTTGTTCTTTGATAGATACTGAAGTTTGGAGCCAATCTAGAGCCCCGAACATTTCAGGGACCAAATATTTCATATCTTTTTATTAATAATTGCACTACGACAACCTATTTATTTCTCTTGAAAGGAAGAATCAGAGATATGAAACATTATTGCAATTTTTCACATAACAATTATTACACAACATAGTGTTTCTATTAACAGGATCAGGTCTGACAATGCAAGGAATAATTTTGAGCGGGTTATTTCATCTTCCTTGCAAAGAGAAAGGACTATCCTTGAGTCTTCTTGTGTGGATACCCTCCAAAAAAAATGAGGTCTGTGAGTGATAAAATAGGCATTTATGCAATGTTATATAACCACCACCATTTCAAAATAAAAGCCCCAGTCTTTATCAAGGACAATTTTTACGGAAGGTAAGGAAGCAAAGTGGTTTCTGCTTTACTTGAGCTTTCCAAGGACTCAAATCTCCCTTAAGCAAAGTGAAGGAGTTTGAGTTAATAGTAAGCCAGGAAGTTGGTTTCTTTAAGAAACTAATAAGAATTAGAATTATTTTAGGATTTTGTTTAAGTATATAGATTTAAATTGGAAAATTGGATAAAACTAGAACTATGATTCCTAAAATTATAATTAGATTTAGATTAGGAATGGGGACAGAACTAGGATTATAATTCCTAGAATGGTAATAGAGATCTAATTCAATTATCTTTTCCAATAAATAAACCTATTATCATGAATAAAATCATCAGCTATTAATCCAAAGAGTTCTTCTCTGAAAGATCAATAGTTATCTCAAACGAAACTCACCAAAGGCCAATAAAACTGAAAACCGGAAAGTAAGCAACCCGCTTGCTACAGGATTTCACATTAGCAAGCCCTGTGACCATATCCGAAGCTCGGGAACCTTATATAAGGATTAGAGAATCTAGGAGCCTTTCTATCTCTAACCTATTTTGACAGTGAAAAGACTATCAAAGAGAACTTGACAACCTCATAGTTCTGCGAGAAACTCTAACTTTATGGATAGTTTTCTGCTCACTTTTCATTCATAGCTAAAAGAATTGTCTCATCAATTACAAGGCAAATGAGAAACGACCAACTGAAGCAGAACTAGCCACTTAAAAAAAGATGGAAAAGAACTGAAGAGAAACTATTTCCAGAATTCTAAAAAGTTAAAAACAAGCCTAAAACTAGGACAACTATTTATAAATAAAAAATCTTAAAAAAGGAAAAAGAAAAACAAGTAGAATCTAGTCAGATGTTAATTCTCTTTGGCCTCGTCCCCTCTTCTTCCCATGTGCATATTTGCTATAAAATTGCATAGAAAAAAACACAATCCTGTCTGTTTCAACCACCTAACTCCCGAGTGAATTGGTTTTTTGAGATTCATATCATCAATAAATGATTGACCCTAAAATTTCACATATCATTCATGCCAGATGACCAACTTATACTAGCCCAACTACAAAGAATCACATCATTCATTAAACTAATTTTTGTTAATTAAAAGCATGTTTACGACTTAAATAAGCCACATACCTCATAAAGAAGGTGTTTCATCCGTTCACTTATCAGTCGACTTTCATCTCTCAATGCCAAACTGATGGCAGGATGTAACCACTTAGCATTACTGAGCCATGATTCGACAAAAGGGTGACCAGCAGCCAGATGGCACCACCATACAGGGCCTGCTGGCCGTTCCCAGTATGGAGCTGCTAGATCTGCCACAGTGACTCCCTCTTCATCATCCACTGGCCCCGACTGCTGTGATGCCCATACTGCATTCACTTGCACTGTTTGAGCAAGCTCTGAAATCCTAGCCCACCCAATTGGAACCCAGTAACTACCTTCATATCTTTCAATTTGTCCTGATTGAAACATCTGACTGTCTTTGTCGTTGAAAGGAAGATTTGCATTGTCCCTCAACTCACTGAGGGAAGAGGATTCCAACATTCTGCTCCCATCTAAGCTTAAGGAAGGCGAATCAATTAGTCCATTTGTTGGCATATGCATGTTCAAATACTCACCATCTGGCTCTCTGACTGGGGCTTTTGAACCCCATTTTGCATTCATTGATCTCTTATGCCTAAATATGCACTCAAAAGCACAAATGATCCCATCTATCCAAAGATCACTTGTCGGCTTGACATCTCTAGTAGAGAAGTTTACATGATGTTCTGGTTTCTTCATTTTATTCTTTTAAGAAACTGAGCTATCCTCCCCCGAATGACTCATTTTCTTTCATTTATGCTCGCGTACCAAATAACTTGCAACCAATATTCTCAAAGCTCGACATCAATCAACAGAAGCTGACCATTCCAGGAACGAGAAGAGAATGTTCCATCAGCATGTAAAGAGTTACAATTCAGTTCAGCAGCAAGAAACATATTCTTGCACAGCATAAT